ATAGAAAAAACTCAAAATAACATGAAAAAATATCATGATAAAAAAAGGTCAAAATATTGATACCTTCAAAAAATAACTCTTTAGTAAAAGTTCGAGTAAAACCTAGACAACCACCGTCTGCTCACCGGCCTACGGGAGACGAATGTCTCGATACAAGTATGACATTGAATTGACCTTCAGGGGACCGTTTGGCGCAAGCAACTCCACACTGCCTCTTACAGTACGCCTTTTTACTAGCGTTCAAGGCCAGCACGATCAAGCTGAAACTTCTGCGCGCACATAGAATAGTCATATGTTGTGGCTCAAGGTCATGTATCGAGGCCAGATCCTAATGTCCAACTTCACCACACATTCTAGCCTCCTACTAATCCCTAGTAAGTGGAATTATAGAGAACTTGAAAAGCTAAGGCTACTGAACTGAGATCATGTTAGCATTTTCTGACGAGTTATTCTCAGACAGGTCAATTTGATTAGCATAAATACTCCACTACAAATAGGCATTAGTAGGATATAAGTGAACAGCAAGCAAATGAGTTGAAGCCTCAAACAGGTTTGAAAAAAATTCATACAACTTTGGAAAAGTTTTAAAAATGATTATCGTTCCAAGTGGTTCTTGTTTTTTCTGGTCTGATTCTGGATTTTGAACATAGTATCCTTAGAGAAACCGACAATGATAAGAATTGTCTTGTCTGATAGTCATAGAATCTATCTTGGTCACGATGCTGATGGAGGAAAAGAAGCTTACTTATTCAACCTTCTGCAAGCTACTCAACCTTTCGTACAAACTGATTCCAGTTACTGCCAATTACAAAAAAAAATCCAACCAAGCTACTCTTCCTATTCACCAATATGCTGGAAAAATCGTTTGAAATCTAGAATGATTGACCCATAAAGTATTGGTCACTATTAACGATCAACCAGAATTCATTAAAATCATATCACACGTGTAGCTCAGCTTTATCTAAAGAAGAATGTCGTATAATGGCTTTAGTAAAAACATTCGACCGAGTTTTCTGCCAGTATTGTGCTGGTTATTTTATAACGACGGTAAATTATCGATAAGAAAACCTGCTGAATGACTGCATACAAAAAATATTTTTTTGTTTAATAATTCGATTTGTGAATTTAACGTCATACAGATTGTAGGACATGTCCTCTATGACCATGTTCAATAAAATATCCATTCTTAATTCTCAGTAGGGTTGAACATTATCCTGATAGGAAGGATTGAAACTTTTGGTGTGAAATGAATCTACTCGTAATACCAAACACTTGAACTATAGCTCTGTATCCCAATGCGATTTTTGCTTCGAAGTCATAAGCATTATTAGGAAATGATTGATCAAATCTAATTCCTTATAATTGTGCCTTTGAAGTCACGGAAGTTATTCTATCATCCATGGATACATATATTCTTTTTTCAATGAAACGACTTGGCAAACTTTGGTTCAACAAAGATTGCGAGGAATCTATCGCTTCTGTAAGTCTCTCCTACCGGCAGTGGCGCAAAAATCCCAGAGAGCTAATGCTCTTAACAGCTGCAAAATTAGAACAAATGAAAGCAAAGCACTTCACAATTATAAAATTAGGGATTCACTGCTTGCCAATCCCAACGGGTATAGATCCTTCTGGTCGGAATCTAAAGCTCTTAACCAAAATTTTAAAAACTGTAAATTCCACCACTAATACAAGCGGATGGTTCAATTGCAACAAAAGCCATAGAAAAAGCAAATCTACCAGCTGAAAAATTTACGTCCCACTCCACAGTCGATTTTCTGGGAAAGACACCACCACAATTTCCATACTAGAATCCACAATGTCGAAAATTATTTTCGACAACGTCTAGTTAGGCGAATTTTCAAACAGCTTAATATCAACAAGGTGTCTGGCCCGTCATCGTACATGAAATGTGCGCACCAGTAATTTGCAAATTTTTCAACCTGTCTTACAAGAAAGGGGGTTTTCCCCCTTTCTTGTGAAAAAAATATTTCAAACTACTATAGACCAGTCGCGTTGCTATCAGTGATATCAAAAATTATGAAGAAAGCCGTGAACTACCATATCCTCAAATATTTGGAAGTCTTCAACGTCTTGAGCGAACATCAATATGGCTTTCGGAAACAAAGATCAACAGGCGACCTTCTATCGTATGTCACCCATATTTGGAATAACGCAATTGAGAAACACGAAGAGCCAAGAGCTGTTGCCCTCGATATTCTAAGGCCTTTGACCGTGTGTGGCATGAGGGTTTGCTGACCAAATTTCGATACTATCGCTTGTCGGATCATTTTTGTATATGGCTCTCCAGCTTTCCGAAAGAACATCCTCTGCAAGTGGTCGTAGATGGATATCTCTTAAATTCTTATATAATCAACGCTGATGTTCCCCATGAAAACTCAGGCATCGGTTTTCTCCAAAACGATGAATGTCTCCGAACCAGATATAATAATGTCAGGACAGACAATTGCGTTTTCTGCTTAGATAAATTTGTTGGGGGTTAAAATTGACACCAATATGTCTTGGCACAACCATGTCGCTGGAATTGCAAAGGCTGCTTCTCAAAAGCTTGAAACACTGTTCCGAATCAGAAAACTGTACACACCTCAACAACTTCAGATACTTTACAAAAATCAGATTAGATCTTCTTTGGAATATTGTTCTCATGTGTGGAGCTTCGCCCCTAAGCGTACCCAGAAGCTGCTGTATAATATCTAGAAAAAAGCCATTCGCCTAATTGGAGACGTGAACATCACTCGTAACCTTGATAGTCTGGAACATCGAAGAACATCTCTTTTCTATAGATACTTTCACGGAAAGTGTTTAAGTGACTTGGCACAATTTGATTCCACCAAGAGCGGTACATATCAGAAATACGCGACGGCCTGTGGCTGTGGCCTGTGCTCAAAAATGAGCAGCCACACGCTGCTCAAAAATGAGGGTCAACTCAGTACACCTCGAACTTTCCTGTTTGAGAACTCTTTCATTTGGAAAACTGCGTTTATGGGGAATAAACTTCCAGAGAACGTTTTTTCAAATGAATTTAATCTCCAGCGATTCAAATCCAAAAAATTTTGGCTCGAATATCTACATAAATGAAAACCAATCACAAAACAAATTTTGGGCAGTTGACCAAACGCGTGTCCAGAGATGTATCGATAAATCTTGAAAAATAATCGAAACTATTTCAAATTGAATGCATCAAGATACTATCAAAGAATCAAGATTTTTGGATAAATATTTGTAAAAATGTGTCTGATTTCTTTCATTTCAATTCTCACTCCGTTGGACAAAAACAAGGCAGGTCCTTTGGTAAATCAGCTAATTTAATCGTTTCCCTCAATTCTGAAAAAGTGCTATATTCTTTTATTTTATTTTTCTTGCAAACATGTTTTCTAAACGTTGTTAAATACTTTGCCATTTGAAATTGTCTGAAAATGTTTTTTCAACGTTTCTCGTTCACGAACTCTATGATAATGATTCAGAGTCACCTGAATCTAGGAGTGTATAATGAAAATTTAGGCGCAAATCCTACCCGAGTCTAAAGATGAGGACCCAGGAAAGTTTACTAGATCTAAGAATTATCGTCGAGGACCCATTCCATTTCGACGATCATATTGACAATCAATTCGAGGACCAAATCAATAAATCACTTCACTTCACTCTGCGCTACTCCTAGCTTCAATTTTTGTGCCACACTCCTATCGATGACCACCCTTAACACCCCCAAGGATCTCAGAGTTGCTCTTCGCGGCTCTTTCCCTTCCTTTCCTCACTATCCAACCAGATGACTATCGAGCTGGTCATTGAGCTCAAAACGGAAGTAAATGAGGTCCAATCGCTATAGACTACCTACTAAATTACTATCCAAGAATATATAGAGAGGCAATAGACATTCAGAAACACAAGGATGATTTCAGTAGAAATGAAGAGGCAATTAATAGTAGTAGAATCTGGCTACCTGTCCTGAATCGTATACGAACAAGGTCATTTAATTCAATCAAGAGAAAAAAAGTCATGCATATCAATGATAATATCTACTGCAGTGGTAGATATTATCATTATATTAGATATTATCATAATTATTATAGTACCACTATACAAATAAATCAAATTCTAAATTGTCAGTGGTTCAACTAGATATATATGAGAGGCTCTAACTCAATTCTAAGGAATTATTTTCAATCATATCCTAATGATATTAACTTGGTTAGCGATAAACGCCTAATGAGACAGTATTTCAATTCTGGTGGTTGAAAGAAGTGTTTTCTAAGAATTATACATTGTCTTAAAAAATGTTTCGTAGTACAGGACTCCATCAAAATGTAAGGGAGCGTTCAGCTTCATTCCGAAATGAACTTCAACTGTTTACATTGTAACCGGCGCGGCGTACTGATCTACCAGTTCAAATAGTTACTTTTGAGTATCTGATATCCCATGCCAAGCAGATACACATACCGATATCTCTCGACAGTGACAACGCGGTCTTGGCATTACAATCGTGATATACTCCAAATTGATCCTTCGCTATCTATTACCGAGTGTTTTGAAGCCGAAGACTCACTGACGCGACAATTGCAGCCATTTACATAAGCCTTTCAGGTAAGGTGAACTTGAGGTCGCATAAGGAATTGAACATTCGCTAAATATGTTGTTCTGACAGGTCCAGAAGGTGAGTTGTCTGGATGTTAAAATTCTCAGATGAGACTCCCCGGAGTACACTCTCAATTGTGCATACTAATGATATATAAACACCCACCCACTTTACGCACATTCTACGCTTCAACTTCTGAGCTTACTATAAATTTAATAGATAAATTCAATAAAATATATTCAATAAAATCAACGTGGAGAGATCACGTTACAATAGAAACGATTATCCGAAAACTGTTTGGTGAAATAAACAAATTTATACCATTCTAGAAATGTATTCTGTTCACCTACTTCAAACTTTAGCTATTGTTTCTTGTATTGAATGAATTTGTATTAATAAAATGAACAACCTGATAAAGAATATCCTCCACAGTACGGTAATCATCCCAAGCCTTTTCTATGGCTTCTTCTGCCTCTACCTGAGCGTCACGAGTTTGATTCAAGGAGTCATTAACATCTTCGGCTTCTTTCAGTAATTTTGTTGCATTCGATCTGCAAGGTATTTCAATCACTAATTTGTTTCTACAAACTCAGCTTTACCTACTTTGCGTATTTAGCATGCTCCTTGAGTTCATTCACTCTTGCCAAATCCCCTTTGGTAGCATCTATTATATAATCGGTATTGGTGAGCCGATCAACAGCGTTCTTTATATTTAATGCAAGTTCTCTCACTTCTTCGGGAGTTTTCTGGACATTTTTCATTAAAATCTGCAAGATAGCATGATTATAACAGACAATATCATCTTACATATTGCCAAAGGTACCTCTTCAGCTAATTTTTTTATATCCGACGGCTTAGTATTATTCTGACCCATGAATTCTCTCATTTCTTTTCTCATATCAGTAACTTCCTTCAAGGACATGTTGGCTTTCTTCAGTTCGTCAAATATCTTATCGTAGGTTTCTTTTGCCAAATTTCTTGTTTGGTTCGTATTTATTTGGGATACCTAAAAAAATAAACTAGAAGGAATTTGATGAGTATTACCATAAACCTACGTTTCTTATGAAATCATTAGCCAAAGTTTCCTTGTTTCTTAAAGCGGTTTCCGTATTGTTTGCATGCTCAATTGCCGTGTTAGCTTGTTGCTTAGCTCCATTAGCACAAGACAGGATATCGCCGCAATATCCGCAACCTGCTCCTCCACAAATTGAATCACAAGGATCTCCATGTCCGTCACATACCAAGTTGTTCAGCTCTGGAATTTGCTTATTCAGAGCTTCCAGTTTTGCAGATATGTTACGCAGCTCATTCTCGTTATCTGCAGACTGCTTTTTGTAGAGCTTTTCAGTATTGTTGATGAATGTTGACGTAGCAATACACTGAATTTCCGCATATTTGACATCTTTCTAAAATCAAAAATGAGTTGTATACAGTTAAAATTGCATGAATACAGCACCTGAGAATGTTCAGCTTTCTGGACTGCCTCGTCGGCCTTTTCTTTAGCGTTTCCAATAAGAGTTAAAGCCCCTTGAACATTAGCTTCTTGCAGTTTAGTTCCGTTATTTTCCAGTTCTTTAATTTTTTCCTTGAGGTTACCCAAACTAGTATTGAGGGTCTGCAGTTTCAACTCCTTGATCAATATTAGCTGTTTATTATCATCCAGTTCACCGTCCAATTTATTCAACTTATCGTTCTCCGTTTTACTTATCCTATCCCTCAATTTTTGTAGTTCGTCTTCGATGTCACCAAGGTCTATTTCGTCTGTATTATTCAAAAGTTTTTCGATCTCATCTAGTTTGTTCTGCATTTCATCAAACTCCTTCGTGTAGGCACCAGTTGCTCCAACTTTCTTTATATCATCAGCTCTTTCAATCATGTCTAGAGTTTGATCTGAAATCAAAGTTAAAATGCAAACAACTTATCACATAAAGTTATGTAAGGTATTACTTTTGGTCTCTTGCAAAATTCTGTCCCAATTATCAAAGCATTCGCCGCATGGAATACATTCTGGTACATCACCAATATATCCTCTGTCGCATCGATCACATTTATAGCCTCCTACACCAGGGAGACAAACACAGGCCCCTGTTTGCATGTTGCACTGTTCGGTTCTTGCACCCAATTGATCGCATTCACACCCTTCAATGAAAAAAAAACTGTTTAGTTGATTGTTAGATATATTGGTATATTCATTTAACCCTTCATCGGGCGACTCCCTGAACATTTTTATGTTGTTTAATGGTCAACGTAACCATATGGTCACGTCAACTTCAAAACCCTCCCAAATCATATCCATGCCGTTTGACGTGTCGCGGGCTACGTTACCATATAGTTACGTTGTTTTTGTGGAGGGAAAAGGGCCGGTTGGTTTTCGCGCCAATCGAAATGTGTGTTTTTACGACGTTATGCCTGTTGGTAGCGCTGCAGCGTTACAGGTTATGTGTGACATTCGTATAAAAGTTTCAATTCCTACTGAAACCATAGTAATTTTATGTCTGTAGTGTCACTGCTGTTTTGTGAAAGAATCAGGCAATATGTTGTTTATTTGTTTCCGATCCAATTTACACGAATATAGAAGCAATGTTGACTTTGAAATATGCGTATCCATATGGTTACATTGCCCATACTGAGAAAGTGTCTCATCTAGGTTTCGAAATATATATTCATGGAAAATCTTGGAACAATTCTCTCATGTTCATTTTATGTAAGGAAGAAATTCAAACTTCCACCATTGCCTGATATTTCCGATGGTTTTGGAAGTTCCAATGATGAGGAAAATATGACTCTGAAGCAAATTCAAAACAAAATTAGGCAAACGGTAACTGCAACTTCAGGAACTGATAGTTCCGACGACGAGGAAAATCTAACATTGTTCCAAATTCAAACCAAAATGAAGCAAGTAATGGATCTCACTTCAGGTAACCATCATAATATAAGGAAGTGGGGAGGTGATACTCGATTTTTTTCAGCATATAATGAATCAGATGAGGAAGATATATCTGGAATTAAACAAAATTTCGACAAAGAGGACGCAGAGACAGAGGAACCAACAGCAAAAAAAAGGAAGAAGGAAAAAAAAGGACCAACTTTCAGCTGGACAAAGGAAGATATATGTGGAATGATCAAATGAAGAGATACCAGCTCCAATCGAGTATTTCACCAAACTCTTCTCTTTTGGCATAATGAATGATATAATCGACCAGACTAACCTGTATAGTACACAACTAACTGGTAAATCCATAGACACCAATGCCAAGGAAATAACCGATTTTTTATCTATATTATTGTTGATGGGAATAATAGATCATCCGTCTTTCGAAGACTATTGGGCAAATCGCACCCAAATTGAGCAGATAGCTCAATTCGGGTGTGAAGTCAGCCAAACGTTTCAAGAAATGTAGACGTAATATTCACTTCAACAATAATGAAAATCTATCTGGTAACACAACGGACAAGTATTTCAAAATCCGCCCTTTGATGGAAAAACTGCAGTCTAATTTTCGAAAATCCCACACTAAAAATCAGTACTCTGTAGACGAGACGATAGTCGCTTATAAGGGTACTCGTGCGGGAAATCTCCGTCAGTATATAAAAAATAAACCCCATAAATGAGGGATAAATTTTTTTATTGCTGGTGTAAACGGATATACCTATATTAGATTTTATTCCCTACCACGGTTCGAGTACTTTTGATGTTTTGAAGGGAACTACGAATGAAATTACTGTGAACGAGTTTGATGTTGGAGCTGCAACTGTAATTGCTTTAGCAAAATCATTGCATGATCCAAGCAAATCGACTCTATTTTTTAATAACTATTTCGCTAGTCTGCCACTCTTCTTGTATCTCAAGGATTAAATGAAAATAAATAGATAGAAACTGACAAAGTTCTACAGAAACAACGGAGAGGATGCTATGACTACAAAACCGATAAAGACAAATGCATTATTGTAGTGGAATGGGTTGATAACAGGGCTGTTTTATTAGGCAGTACTCTTTATGGCATAGAGCCCATAGACACTGTGAAGAGATACAATAAAAATACGAGGACAAAAACAGATATCAAGTGTCCAGCAATCGTCAAACAATATAATAAACATATGGGTGGTGTTGATACAGCTAATGCTCTCGTGGGTCTTTATAAAACACCTCACAAAGCAAAAATATGGTACTTCCCCATATTTGCATATCTTTTAGATGTGACGGTTGTGAACGCATGGCTTCTTTATAGAATGGATGGTGCAGCTTTGAACAAAAAATATATACCTCTCAAACGGTTTAGGTTGGAGGTTGCGATGGGTTTGTCTCGTTGCAGAAAGAAGTCAGAAGAGGTCGACCCAGCTTTGACATTGGAGTACCAATTATACATCGTCCGGTTTCTGACAGACCGGATTCTGCATCAAGGACTGATTCATATGCTCATTGGCCAATACACACAAGCAAGGGAAGATGCAGGCACTGTGTAAACGGTACAAGCCGCCTGAAGTGCGAAAAATGTGATGCAAGATTATGTCTAACTGGCATGAAGAACTGTTTTAAAATATTTCATACAAAAAAATAAAATTATTATATTATGTTGAAATTTGTGAAAAATAAATTCTATGAATATGTATTTCAATCCACTGAAAATCTTAAGCTGTCATGTGCAGAAATGTATACATAATGAATTCGATACGTATGACGGGCAATGCCAATTTAGTGGTCATTGTAACCATATGGTTACAGCCTTCAATCGGATAACTACTATCAATATGGATATACTGACACTTTCAAGGAAGTCAGTGAGTTATTTTGAATCATTTTCTGCGATTTGAACATTTTAATAAGCTACTGTCTTGCCATTAGGGGATTAAAAAAATATTGTAAAACCATATGGTGTCAAAAACCGATAAAGAGTTAATCAGAGGTAATAGAGAAAACAAATGTTGAATAGACGATACATTTACATGTAGTAAAATGTAACTTGAAATGTATGTCAGTACAGTTTCCAGATTCACTTCAAAATAGCAAGATTCATTGAAGTGATGAACTAACTCCTGAGTTTTTCCTTTAAAAAAGTAGTAAAGACCCGTCCTTGTTTTCATATGAACACTCACTTGAGCATTGCACCTTTGGATCACCGAAAAATTTGGGCATGCACTCATCACATTTTCTTCCACCAAATCCAGGTCTGCACTGGCACTGACCATCAAACTGAAAAGACGCAAAGCAATCAAATGAGCTGAAATCGAACATTCGTTCTTACCTCATTACACTGTGGACTCAGAGATCCAAGCGGATCGCAAGTACATGGTTCACATCCCTTCCCACTTGCAATTTTCCAATGATTGGGAACGCAAGCATCACATTTCAATCCAGAAACGTTCGGCAAGCAGTGACACTGCCCGCTAGCATGATCGCAAGGTCCTGCTGAGCTATTCGTTCCTAAAATGTGACAAACACATTCCTCACACTGTCTATCTTCAGAGTATCTGAAAAACCCTGGCTTGCATACTTCACAGTGATCCCCAATCGTATCGTACAAACATTTCAGACACTTTCCAGTATGGGGATCGCAGTTTCCTGGGCTCAATAAATCTACTTTATCATTGCAATCGCATGGCTGGCATTTCCCTCCAGGTACTTCCGGGTTTCCGTAGTAATTATCTGAGCAAACATCGCACCTAGCTCCCGAATATCCTTCTTGGCATTCACAATTTACATCCTTGGAAGAAGGATCCAGCATGCATATATCAGCGTACGAATGGTTCGAACCGACGAGTCCAGGACAAGGACAAGGCCTACACGGAATATCGACCTTTATTCTAGGATCCCCGTAGAAGCTGTCCATACAGTAATCGCAGTGTTCACCCTGGGTATTGTCGCGACAGTTGATACAGACTCCAGTTTTGGCTTCGCAAACATCAGCGTGCCCGTTGCAGTCACACCTCTCACAATTGGGGAAATTCCAGAAACCAGTACGACATTGGTCGCATTCCCGTCCATAAGTATTGGTTCTGCATTTGCACTGACCCGTAGTGGCGTTGCAGAAATTATCCAGAGCCCCTATGCTGTTGCAGTCGCAAGATCGGCAACCTTCAGGGCCGAAGTCGTAAGTTCCCGGAGCGCATCGATCGCATCGACGTCCAACGACAAATGGTTTACACATGCAATATCCTCCGTTTGATTCGCAGAGCTTGCTAACCGATCCCGTGGGATCGCACTGGCATGCTGTAAGGGAACATAATTATTGGGACTATAAACAGAAAAACTTAGACTTACAGAAAGCACCGTTGAACACATATGCTCCAATACTTGCATAATACTTCGAGCATATCTCTGGAACCTCCGCGCCTTTTGTAAAGTACGATGGGTTGGAACAATGGTACCTTTCATACTCCTGTCGCCTGAAGTTTGCAGCAGCAGAGCCTTGGAAGAACGGAACGTCTTCAACTCTAGGAATGAGTACTATGGAGTCGATTAGGACTGAGGCTGAAGGTATGTGCTGGTAGTCGGATCTAATGAATTCGAGTTTGACCTTGTAGGTCTTTCCGGCTTCGAAGCAGGCGGGAGGATACACTGTGACACTCCTGGCATTCGAAGGTAAACCGACAGTTTTGATATCATCAGTTGGATTCATCTTAGAACACAGTCCTTCTAACACGCCATCCGGTCTTTCGATGGTTACTTCAACTTCCTCCCAACTATTGGGAGTAGTCGGTTCGTACCGAATGACAATATCGTAATGCATGGTGGTTTTTATTTCATTTACGAGAAACTCGAGAAACCCCCCTTCGAACGATTTGACGAAGCCCATTCCGGTCCATGTATCATCTCGACCATCCCTGAAGGGTTCTCTGATAACTACTTGTCCGCTTGATTTTGCTGCTTCCGCTTCATAAAGCAAAAAATTCAAGTTAGCGGTAAAATATTGTTGTTCTGGAATGTTGCAAGTTCTTCCCGACATGTGATCTCTACATCTACACTGGCCTGTGTTTACGTCGCAAAAATTATCGTGCGAACCACCGGGATCACAGTCACATGGTTGACAACCATCTTTTCTGTCTGAGAGGTCCCAGAACTGCGGGAAGCACTGATCACAATCTCTTCCAGTAACATACCGTTTGCAGAAGCATTCTCCAGTATCAACATGACAACCCTGATTATCGATGGTGCCCAGAGTGTGGCAAGTACACTTCTCACAACCATCAGGGTTTTCTTCTGTGAAGTTCCAGTAGCCATTCTTGCAATAGTCACATCTGCGTCCTTCTACGTTAGTTTTGCAGTGGCAACTGCCTGCCACTAAGTTGTTGACAGGATCACTAACAGAATCGCAAATTCCGCCGTCCAAAGATCCACTGGGGTCGCAATCACACGCTAAAAAGGACAATATTTTCAAATAAGAGTATGAACAATAATGCATAATATATTTCAAGATAAATAAACTTATAAGGGATAGATTTGTCCAGCACTTACGTCGGCAGACTTCAGGGTCCTGGATATCTCTCTTCGGATCGTTATAGAAGAAAGGTTTGCACTGTTCGCAGTTTGGACCCATTGTATTGTGTTGACATCCATCGCAAACTCCTCCACTTACTCTTCCTGTAGCTTCATACAATGCAGAGTCGAAGTGACAACTTGTAGCGTGGTTGTTACAATTACACCCTGAATAGAAACAATTCATTATTGAACAATCACAACTTGAGATTACTGAAAAATATATTCTTGTAACGTATCTAAATGTAGCATACTTTTGCAAGCGTTGGTCTGCTTTCCTATTGCAGGTCTCCAAGGCAGATCGTTGAAGAAATCTTCACATTTTTCACAATTTCTTCCCTTGGTATTGTGAGTACACTCGCATCTTCCGTGGACCATATCTGGTTTTGGATCTATTCCGGGCAAAGGCAAGCAACGGTTTGCATGACCGTAACACGAGCAGGAACCTCTAACCACCATATCTGTGATGGCGTAATAATATTTTTCCTAAAAAAATAATTGAGAATTTTCTGAGATTTATACTTTTAGTAGATATAGTAAGAGTAGAAGATTTTTAGACTCATTTAAAATCTTTCTAGCTGAAACTAACCGACAAAAAATGATATGCTACAGTACTCCCGTCAGTTTTCATTATTATCACATGCATTGAATACGAGGACATGGAAAGAGTAAAAAAAGATTCTGGGTGTTGATAAAATAATTCGTTGATTCTTGATAGCACTGACTCAAATTACATTACTTACTTGAATCTCTTCCCGTCTGTCCAGAAGATCATCCCCAAGCGTGTGTAGCTTGGTGAAATTAATTCTCAAATTTGTTATCTTGAGCAGTCCCTGAACCTGCTCTGAGTAAGGGTTGTCGATAGGTAGATTAGGTGGCAAAACCCTGTAAATAATTTCACCATCTGTTGAGGGAGCTACTCCAGAATATCTCGATTCACATACGATATCAGTCAGGTTTTTAGCAGTTCCCTCCCGTATGCCAGGAAAACTCTCGTTGCAATTATGGGCGAAATACCTGTACACCTGGAGAACAGTGATTAGAGGAGTTTATAACGAAAAAACAATAAATTCACCTGCCAGGTTTGCTTGAAATCGTAGGATCTTTCAATCAACATAGCTGCAGGTCTAAAAGTTTTGAAAGTGATTATCAAATGAGTGAAGTGAAATTCCGCCTCCAAATCCAGCTGAATGTAAACTTTTTCTTTCCCATTTTCGGACTGCCACCAAGATTTCTGCCGAGTTCTATACGAAAATAACACTGACTAATTTTATTCATTTGAAAGAGTAACACTTACCCAGGAAACAATCGATATACTATGTTGCTGATATTGTGATTCAACAAAGGATTAGGTTTGGTGGTAGGTCTCGAATCACACCAAAAACATTTCTTTCTCTCCGCGTCCAAATGCGAAACAATGCAGTACCGCTGTTGGCCGTGTGTTCCACAAGTCGAAGAAGCATACAACTGACTCTCTCTGCCAATCAAAAGGTTGCCAGTAGCTGGATAGCAGGAGCTCTGTTCACAGGGGTGAAGCTTCTTTGGCTCGAAACCTATAAAAATAGTCGTATTCAAAAACAGTCTAAGGCTGTTCGAGAGCTTGTTGAGATTGTGAATTAATTTGTTACGAGGCTAGAGGCAACTACCACCACGACGAAGAATTAAGAACTGTTAACACTAGTGCATGACAGCCATTAAAAAGTAAACCTACACCGGGATCATCCAAAATAACACACCCTGGTTAAATTGGATACCTTGTCGCCGAAACTTGTTTGCATCTGCTAGAGGATGGATTTCTTGAAGAATCCTATTGTCCAGGTAAGGGTCAGCATCAGAAGGTGGTGACTGATCACCTCGTTGAAGGAACTGCGCTGCATGTGAAAAAATAAAATGACCGATCATAATTTGGTATCAAGTTGAAACCGATAGAAAGTGATCTTTATTGAAAAATTGTATTACTTTCAATACTATATGGGTTGATTCATCTCCACTATAGATGAAAAAGGTGTAATATTTTCCGCTATTGCAATCAAGGAAGTATATTCAATTTGATATGGATTTCATGTATATCATTATACCTGGTTGGAATCTATGATGGAATAAAATCAAGTCCGTTCGGGAGGTATTTCAAATCTATTTTTATTTATTTTTCGGTTCATTTCAGTTGAACTGCAATTTGAAATCAATTGGAATATATGATGGAGTTGGCCCATACTTGACAAAAATCCATAACGCATTCAAGTAATACTTCATTGTGAGGTTTTCACGGAACAGTTCACAAAACCACAATACGTGTTTCACTATACAATAGCTTGTTGATAATGGTAGGGACTGTTTAATACTATTATATTATATTGAAATACATCATTGTGGGATTATCTCATAACACTTTGCAAAAGCTATTCACTATACAATAGCTACAAGAAGCTATTCAACTACAATATCATAGATTTTCATTAAATATCGGCCATCCTAACCCATATCTGTTGCATTATATTACTCCTGTGAAGTTAATTTGCCTATTTATTCGAAATAAATTTTTGTTTGATACAGAATGTTCATCTACGCCTGTTTTGATAATGATTTTTCTTTCAAATTAAAGAAAAGGATTTCTGAAACTGAACAAAAAAAACTTGTTCAATTTTTTGCTCTTTCGCAGGTGATCATAAAAAAATGTGGTAAAATATATTTGGGAATAACTTGCGAAACTCGTCGTATAAACCTCGCCCTCGGTATAACCATAATAATGATGAGTGGATATGGAGATATGACTGAAACATAGGCATATATTGTTAATTTTTTCCGTGAAAAGTATCCTTATTGCCTCCTTTTACGCAAAATTGAAAGACAATTTCATGAGTTAGGTCAAAAGTATTTTCCAAAAAAAAGGTATTCTTTCGTTGATGAAGATACTAATCTGAATGCAGAGTTAGGAGATGAAAGAAAGTCCTACGAATTCTGCAGGGCAAATTGCACGGAATACCAATGAATCATATAGTGATAACAGAACTCTTTGAAACCATTACACGACATCCTTACAAAGTTCCCCCTTCACAAGAGTTATTGGAAGATGATCCTGACCACAGAACTGAGTTTGGCGAGGAAATGGTGAGAAAATTAGAGCAACATGAATACTTGATAACATATGTATTGTTTTCAGATGAATCTTTTTTTACCTTTAATGAACATGTAACTCGTCAAAATTGTAGATGCCGGTTTCGAGATCATCATCACTGGATGCAAGTTTCACATACTAAGGATCTAGAAAAAATAAATGTCTGGACCGGCTATCTATTAAATCGAATGACTGATCAAAACTTTCAGGATGGAAAATATTCAAATACAGAATTCCTGAATTGGTAAATGAGCCGAATAGGAACGGTGGAATGGTCGGCGAGATCGCCTAACCTGCGCCCTCATATTTTTTTTATAGTGCCATTTCAAAAACAAGGTTTTCCAAACAAAACCTGCAACCATGCAAGATTTAAAGGATTGAATATCGGCGATTAGGTACTTCACATAAGTATAAAAACGTCAGAAAAAAAGACATAATTGGATAGGTGGTCAAGAAATAGAAGGAACACATTTTGAATATCTTATCAATTAGTGTGTCAAAATTAAGTAATAAAGAACTCAAACTCGTGCGAACATATCAACAATCGATCCTTTTTTACTACTTACGGTTTTACATGTAGTCAATATGTAAGGGACAGTGCTTCTTAAAACTGACAAAAAAATTTTTGACTATATATGATATAGGATATATGAAATGCTTTCATCCCTTTCTTCACACAAACGACACGAATATTAAAATCATCTTCAGTTGAGGACTGTCACATTCAATGTTAAGATTTTTATCAATGATTATTAGTATGAGATACACCTGAATAATAATGTCACGATGATAACAATAATTGAATGATTAAATGATTATACTTGAAAATTTGTTGATACAACTGTCAACATATACAGCTTGTCAAATCTAAGAAGAGACTTGTAAATTCTCACAACCTGCGTGTTTTCTGACGGAGTGCGCAATAGGAAGAAAGAGGATTAAAACTAGCGCTTGTCACGAAGTACAATTGCCGTCACAAACAAGGCAATTACCTAAATTGAACGCTCTGAATTTCTATTATTTCAATTTTTTAGCTTTATTACTTGAAAAATAACGTCGGAGTATCGAAAATGTTTGGCCACTCGTCAGTGCAATGTAGTGTTTATCATCAACATAAAGTCGCCAACAGCATATGCTGGATTAACTTCAGTGAAGAAGTCGACACCTGTCGGATATAAAACCAACGCCCTTCGTGGAATTAGCCATGAAAGTATTTGTTTTCTGATAGGTGTCAGTCCATTAACCTGCCTGAACGAATTGTTCTTTCAGATAATTTGGTTTACAGCCAGTCCTCAAGTAGGCCCACTCAATTTGTGAAGTTTTCTTTCTCATACGAGGAATTGGGCAAATTTCGGATATGCGTTAAGCAAAAAAAAAATATTATTATTCCCTTCTTGTTTCATGAAGTGAACAACATTTTCAATCACCCTTGTTTATCCTGTTGAAACTTTGTGTTTCCGTTCAGAAGTAAATTCCATTTTCACTGCACAGATTTTTTGTCGATGTCGATTGTTATTACGACTGAGCGCTCTCAACGTCTTCTAACGCGCGCATCTAGGGGGCAGGATCATATCGAAGTTCACTGAACTCTTTCTACATCTGAAAAGCTATACTGTTCAATATCTTTCAGTTACATGACGAATTCATACTCATTTTAGACCATATAACTCACCCTTCTTTGGTACATGGTTGAATGTCCTTTGCCTTGCCCCAATATATTGTCCGTTTAAGTGCATTGCTGTAAAAATCAGCATATTATTTCAAAGAAACTGTTCACTTCTTTACTTACTTTTAATTAAAATTCCTACTATTAGCAGCCAAAGTCCTATAGTGAAGTTGACCATTATTAGAAAATTGTTTCTCTGAACCTATTTTCAATGCCTGAAAAAAATTATGCGTATTTTATTTCACAGAAGAAAACTTCTCTAGATACACTCAGCAATAGCAATCAAGGATATATTTGAAATATTTTAATGAGATTTTTCAGCCATTTAGACTGAATATTCAATCAATCAAAGTTATAATCTACTCTTGATGACACACAGTAAATATTGTACTAGCAAAATATTGGCATATGATGGTTTCAATGAGAAATAGATCAAAATAGTTCTAAACAATTAAGTTCGTAATGAAATGATCATAGAATTGATTTATGAATTATGTTTACATGCTCGTCACCTTCATAAAATTCGTTACTAGATGTTAGAAATATTTGGTAAAACTTCGAACTTTTGGAAAATTGCCGAACTTTTGGAGACAAAAGTGACCATTAGCATAAGCAGGTAACAATTTGGTAATTCACATTTCAATAACACGAAAAAGTATAAGAGTAATATAAATAAACACAAATAGTCCTCAATGAAGCTTGAAGCCTGTTTAACAGGTAAACAATATAAATTAAATGTTCAAATTTAAACATTTCAGAACTAGTTGAAAAATGGTACATATAATAGTGAAGAATTGAATAGAAATGGTAGTATATAGAAATTTCAAGAAATTTCAGGAGATATTGAGCCAGTTTAATCTAATCTGCGATACATTATTAGATGTTAGCTCATTATAGCCCTGACTTTGATGCACTGTTTCAGATCCATCTACTTTTTCTTCTTCTGAGAGTGCTAAAGAAGTATCCTATATTTCCCAAAATCGTGCTAGTTGATCTTGCATTTCATAATTTGGAGAGAAATTACATTGCACAGATTGGAACAAAGAGCACCTCAACATAACTTGCCAAAATATGTCCCACCCTATAAGTAACTGAACTGGGCTAGAAGTGTTAAAATCCAGATTTGAAAGTCTGCAATTTTGTGAAATGTTGAGTGATGACATATCAAACGAAATATCAACAATTGATTTCGAAATGACGGTAAAGACAAGATAAGGTCAGACGTTAATAACTTCAACTGGCTTCCTGAATCAAAAAGAGCACGGTATGTAGGAGGATTTCTCTTTGAATAAAGAATCGGCAACTGAACGATTAAAAAAGTACTTGATTCGTGGAATATACAACGCTAGAAAACAATTGCTGAGAAAACGATTCCGAAGGTGTTCCAGAAATGGAGGCAGTTGAGTTATTCATATATATAATAAACAATTATACTTTGAGAAAGGCTAAGAAATCATTCAATTTGGAAACTTCATCAACATTTTTTGGAAATTTTGTGGATTCCCACTCACGCCTAGTTGTTTTGTTCAGATGTTAATGATCAACCATGTTTCGGTTGATCAACGTGAACTCTTCAGTGATTGTAGATTTTTTGCAGATTTGTTTCATACCTGAAAAAGTATCGTACTCTGCCATCAATTGAATTTGAATTTATGTTGTCCGCGCTTTACGGGTATTTGTGTCCAGGTCGGTAGGTTCCGTGATTCACTTTGAGCATTTTCTTCGAGTGGAACATCGGAAGAACTTGTACTGACCGGAGGATTCGAAATGTTGCATCTTTTAGTAGTTTCTGTATACATGTCTAGAAAATATTTGTCGAAAATGATTAACCTGGTCGAGATTCATGTTTAGCATATCCGACCTGCAAGAATTTCTGCCGACCTGCAAGGTTTATTTTCAATTTAATGAGAAATGTGGAATTTTTCCATACTCAAAGGGTGGGGGTTGGAATTTTTTCTGTCAAAAATGATTAACCTGGTCGAGATTGATTTGCTGAGCTGCAGACCTGCAAAATAGTTATACACACCTGCTTGGTAAAGGAACCCTCTCGATACATACAATGTGTCACGTAGTACACTGTGACGCAACTCGCTTTCCGACACATTTATGTGAAAAGGATGTTTTATTTTCATGCTTTTCAGCGATATTTCAGGAAAGGAGACTCTGAAATAGATAATGAATTGAGGATTCTCAGCAAATTTTAGTATTTTTTGGTCGTTTAAATCAAGGAAAGATTACATTTTCTGAAATTAATCTTTTACAGTCGTTAGATACGTGAATCATGCTTTCTTCTAAGAAGTATTGATTTATTTATCAATAAGAATATGCCGGAAACCAATAATGTATTTCTGATATGCATTATTTGTATTTCACATAGCTTTGTCCTGTCAGGAAGTGTAGTCAAAATACTTGCCGTTGGAAAGACTATGGAAAATTCAGGATACTGCAGTACATTTCGACGAAAGTCTAGCTAAATTTCATTGAAACTCTTGTGAATTTTGTCAGGAAAATGTAAAAAAATGCGATTTTGAAAGTGTTAAGAAATGCGACTTCGAAAGTGTTGTGAAGTCGTATGATTTATGAAATCTTCAAATTGATATTTTCGGCTAGATTCCTTGAAAAAACATATTGCAGTATTTTACTTTATATTATATCTCTTATATGATGAGGAAATATCATAAGAAAGATGATATTTGGGTTTTACATAAAAATGCGGAAAAGGGACAATTAGGTCGATCTTAGAGAGTGGGATGGAGCGATGTGCAGTCTGAACGCTGCAAAGCTATGCTTTGCTAACTACAGACTGTGGTTATCGATATTTCGTTTTAAAGTTTTCTTTGTGGTTTTTGGTAATTTTTCACAGAATTTCACATGTTTCGTCGAGGACTTAGATAGGATTGGACTATTTGTGTATATCTGCGTACGTATTTGCAGTATTTACTTGGGTCTCGTAAGAATTCGTTTTTGGTTCTTTCGAGGAAAATGGTAATTTTGAAGTTTCAGTAAAATCAGCTAACCTGAGGCTGACTCCTACTACTAGAGTCAACCGTGCTTTTGAGAACATTGGTGCCTCTTCCGTGGCCGAAAGATAACTCTAGAGATCTGTCATCAACCGCAGAGATCGTTCATTTAGCCAAACCGCAGATATTTATAAGAACAGAGCTCCCCAAAACTTCGTAACTAATTCAAAAAGATTAATATTCTTCTTGAAAATATTCACTTGGTGATTGAAACACGTGTCGATGTGTCAAAAATAACGGTTTGGGATAAAACTCCAGTAATATTTTTTAACGAAGATATAGCTGCTAATTGATTGTCCTCTGGGTTTTTCCTAACGTCGAATGGTTTGATGTCTGGCGTTGCTCAAATTACTTCGAAATTATCAATTTAATATTAATTACTTGTTTAGTTGTATGTATTGAACTTTTTTATATATGTATGCCAAATGAAATGAATAGATGGTTAGTTGATTTATGATACCCCTTTAATTATGAAAACTGAGTCGATACAACTCAACTGTATAAGATGAACTTATCAACTGCCGAAGTCGTTAGGCAGTTGGATATATTTGTTCTCAAACAACTAACATAAGCAGGTGAAACAGAAGTGTAACAAAAATTTTTTAAGTATGCAAATCTAATCATTTTTGACTTTTTGTTTCATATTTTTCGCGAAATTTCCTCTTAAATTAATATAGTTGTCATTCATTGTTTTCACAAGATGTAACTAATGACTTTTAATAAGTCTGATATCAGAATAAATATATTTACAAAAAAATCAATTTTGTTGTAAGAAGCGTGAGGTGCTGAATATCCATTGTTATAAATACTTGGTTACGAGCTGTTTGCCAGATTGGAGCCATAATAAAAATATAATTCAAAGCATTCCACGCTTTTTCACCACAAAATTGATTCTTTAGTAAATATATTTATTCTGATTTCAGACTTATTTAAAGTCATCAGTTACATCATAGGACTTATTATCGATGTTGAACACAATCTTAAATCAGTTTCGAATTATTTTTTAATTTTCAGTTTGTGTTGCTATTGAAGCGTGTTTTTTAGTTTTTTAAAACTAATATTCATTTTGGTTTATTGAATGGATTCAGGACTTCGTTATTCAACTTTATTTCACTTCCTCTGATTCTAATTTTTTTATTGTGGTCTTTAACTACACTTTCAATGATATGAATACATTTTTTGTTGCAGATTCAACCTCACGCACGATAAAACACTCTTATGAGAATAATGAAAAAGAAATGAGCCACCCCACTGGCGTGCTACTCATAGAGTAACAAGTATTGAATATACAATAACTATTTACTCACCAGTGTCTGTTAGGTATAACAAATATCAACTAGAATCTACAAATCCGATTATTTAAGACATATTCAACGCAAATATCTTTCTATTCCTATTTTTCGATGAATTTCACAACATAATGAAAATAATTTAACATAATGATAATATTTTCTAGCTACTCCACCACCTACTCTCTCTCTCGTTCATATTCTGAGCATATTATACAAACTTTCCTGCAAAATATTTTCTATTTTACTCAATATTTAAATTCATCATTTCATTATATCACTTACTTTTCTTAACAATTATATGATGTACGATATATACAGATACTTTGGGCGAGTAAAAGATAGAACAGACAAATTTTATCTAGGCGTAGTTAGTCGACAGAGGACTTCTGTTCATCACATTGAACATGTTTACTGTACTTGAGTTGTGTAAACGAAGAATTGGAATAACACTATAGAAAGCATAGGTGGGCATATATGAAGATATACATATTTAGTAGCAATTATTATGGTGTCATGCTTTTTTTAGTTTCTTCTTTTACGTTTCTGTTTCCTGTTGCGACTACGTTTGTCTCTGACATTATCCGTTTCTTCTTCAGTGGCTCTCGTATATTTTTTCCAACAATTTCTTGTTTTCTAACTAATTTTTCTTGATGATGGTGTTGGAGGTGTGTTCGCAGATTTTCTTACAGGAATTCAGTATCATTTTTTCCAAAGTTTTTTTTTTCTTCTATGACTTCTGCTGTATACTTTGAGTGTATTTCTCTTTATATTTGCTGTGCTATTGATACACTCAACTTCTTTAAGTGTCTCTATTAAAAATTTTTTTCCTTCAGTTCTCTTCCTGTTAGGTCACTTTTTTTGTTCTTTTTACCATTTTCCTATTCTTCAAAATTTTTTTTAGGG